GAAAAATTAAAGATTTTAGTCACAATGAGCTCCATGACCCTATCACACCCCTATGGGTACTTGTTCCTAGGCTGTAGCAGTCTCTTCCTCTAGCATAACACTGCCCAGATATTTACTACTGTAGATTCTTTACCAAGAAATTGTTTAACAAGTGTCCTTCTCAGTCAGAATTAAGTCTATAATGTCTTGTGGCTAACAAGATAAGAAGATGCAGATACTTATGGTGAACTATATCATATATAAATTTCTATAATATTATTACCTTGTGTGCATAAAATTTCAGTAGGAGATAAACATTAGCTTCCACACCTCGAAAGAACGAAAGGATGTCCAATCAACTGGGGAGAGAACTCTGGCTTTGGAAGAAGGTGGTGCTGAAGGGCTTCCCTTGAATCCCAGCAGAGGCTTCCTGCAAAGGTCAGCTTGACTTCTACTGTATTATGAGGAGAGCTCATTATCAGGAAAGCAATGTCAGTTTCCATGACATCTGCAGCTCTTCCCTAGACATTCCATTGTATCCTGGAGAGCCCTGGCATTCTCTGTGATGTCACTATGTTGTGGCCACACCCACTGTCCTTGGGAAGTTTATTCAGTGCCTTCACCATTTACTGATGAACATGATGGCATATTGAAGTGTCTAATTCAGAATGTGAATGGAGAGGGTAGAGAGACCAGAGAGTGACAGAAGAAAGCTGACCTTCAGCCTCAGTGTAAAACATCAAGGAAGAAATGGTTGAGAGAATGGTGCAATGAGTCCTGTGCAGTAAATGTGAAGCTTCCTGGAGGAAGTGGGCTTGAGCTGAATCTTCCAGTAATGGGGAACAGAAAGTTGGAGTCTCTGGGTACCAACAGAAATTCCCTGCTAGTCATGGCTCTTGAAATTCAAGGATTCTAGGATATTAATTATTTTGCATCAGAGGACAGAAAATGGTAAGTCCAATGGTTTATGGTGGGAACTCTTGGCTTTCATCCCTTCTGGAGGATAGGCATTGATGACTGAACATGATACCAACATTAAAGTGGGAGGGATTAGTGAGTTGTGCTCATTTCAAGGCAGGACATCACTGTACTTCAACCACAGTGGCTAACTTTAGGTACTTCCCAGCTGCTCTGTGTGACCTGAGTTGTCATTGAGGTGACTTGTTGAGTCTGGTGACCATGTTCTGCCCTTATATATCTTCTCCATCAATTGTTAGATGGTTCGTGACCTGTCAAGATATTTGGGGAACCTCTAAAAGAGGGTGATTGTTAACTATGGCAATTTTCTCCTGACTCATAAACCCACAGGCTTGTAGACTCTGCAGCCAAGTTAAATTCTGAGTCTGAAGCTGTGAATAAGCCTGAAGAGGCTATCTCCTTGGTTATTTGGAGCATATGCTATGAGGGCAGAGACAACCATAGCTTGGATAACCACTTCCCTTCAAATAGAGGAGGCAGCTGAGTTCCCCAGAGAGGGCTTCTGAAGCATGGGACAAAATAATTTGAGGTGTCACTGAGTCATTGGTAAACAAGTTTGCTCAAACTTTTGTTTAAGACTCAGGGTGGTCTGTCCATCCTCTTTGCCTTGTCATAGTGCAGGTTAATTTATATGCATCTACCCACAAGGAGCAACATGGAGCCACCATCCCACCAAAACTTCCTCACCAAGATGCAGGTGAAGCAGAAGGTTCAGAGACTGTCCTGTCAGCAACGGCAAATGACCATTGAAACAAAGTAGCAGTGAGATCGCCTTATCTTTATCACAGAAGAGAGCATGAAGAATAGGTATTAATTCTTTCAAACCCTGTTGTGTCAATCTTAGGTCAACTCTGTCATCATTAATTCATTTCATACAAGGTTTGTGTTTCTGCCAGGCTTTATCTTCAGGGCATGCCTTTGCCCAAAATGATGTCTCTGAATTCTTCCCAAAGGCAGAACCTCAAATGTGGACAAGAATGTCATGAGGACAAAGACTACTCTGATTCCTCTAAAAAGAAACAAAACCAGAGCCTGTAGCATGGTTCTCATGGAATGAAGCAGTAGTATGTGAGTTCCCAGCATGCATTTGAAGAGAGTCTATCAAGTGCTGGCTAGTGTGAGATGTTAGGTGCT